AGAACGTGACCGTGACCGCGCGGGTGGGGCGATGGCTCCGCACCCACGGCGGCAACGCGGGGCTCACCTGCGCTGCGTGTGTGCGGCACAGTCACTGCGAGGGCTGTGTGCAAGCAAGTCAGCACCTGCTGGCATGTGAGCGGCAGGGATGCTTTTAGAAACGTGTGAGGGTGGCATGAAAAAACAAGTCAGCTGAAATATCTTTAGCTTGTAGGGCACCTGTGGGCTAGTAGATGCAAACGGAACAGCGCACAGAAACTCCTCAAATATCGAGCTGCCATTTATTTCCACTGTCTCTTATCAAATTTCACCTGCGTAAGCAGCTTATTTCTTTGAGTTCTGGTAAATTCAAGCCCCTGGCTCTAGGCACGCCTAATTTCTGAGGGAAGAACAGAGACATTTCAGTCAGCTTCTATGGAAAATGATTTCCCGGAGCTAGGGTCTCGTTCCCTTTGGGAGCTCAGGGGGCACGGCACAGGGAAAGAACTAGCTGAGAGGCATATGGGGCCTGGGGCTTTAAATAGCGCCTGACTAGGTTCGGGAGCTGACTGCAGAGCTAACGAGACATGGGGAAATATGAGTTCATTTTCTTGAGCTAAGGGAAATTTGGAGAATCCTGTTCCCATATGTCGTCAGTTGCTAAAACAAGTCTACTGGAAATGTAAAAAGTCTGTCTGTCTGCCTCCACTCCTTGCCCTATAGCAATATAAGTCGTACAACTTCATCTGAGTTTTGTGATAAATAAATGAGCAATCCTGCCTCCAAAGCTATCTGTACATCCTTGCTCCAGGCTTGTACCACGGCACAGGGTTGCACACTGTCAGGGAAGGAGATTTTCTCTGCGTAGCATGTCGTGGTATGTTCACTGGTCACAGCATTGCCCGTGGGGTGAGAAATGGGCCTGGACTGCTCTCAAGCCATCAGTCTTGTGCATTTGCTGTCTTAGCACTCTCTAGTTCTGTAGTGTAATGCCTATACGGCTAATGATCAAGGTCAGGCCTGTTGGCCTTCTGCCAGCAAACTAAAACCTGGTGTTTTTCTGAGCTGAGTTTATAAACAGGGCACGGGCTGAAACCTCTCTTAAGCTGCCATGGCAAGGGCTAGAAAACAGGATGCCAGCTCCAGTGCAGTATGTGCCAAGAGTGGTGCTTATGGAGTTATTTCTAGAGGGGAAGACCTCAACATCTTAAATCATCAGTTTAGCCTTGGCAGTGCAGCAGAAACCCTCCAGAGAAAGGGGACTGTGGAAGCTTTCATTTGTGTTGGTGGTACCTCCTGCTCAGGCCCACCAGCAGTGGGGCTGCGGGCAAGTTTGTGTGGCGCTTGCCTGTGTTCAGTGAATGGTCTGCAGGCTCCAAGCTGCCTGTGCCTTCCCGTTGTGAGCTTCTCTAACTCTGTTTTCGGTGGGAAGGAACTGAAGGAGAGGAAGAGCAGCTTTTGGCCTTTTCTCAGGGAAGGAAGACTCAGATCTTAACAGTGCTCAGAGCTGCTGACTGAGCCAGGTTTGATCTTGGCAACAGCAAAGAAAGATGGGGTATTTCCAAAGGAGGCAAAGAAACCCGTGTAAAACCAGTGTAAATGACACTAGGCTTGCAAGGTTCTGTTCTCTACATATGAGCAATCATGATCTGTACTGAGCTCCGTGGGAGGCAAAGGTATGTCAGTCTTGGGGTGAATGTTTTTTTTCTGCTGCTTTAGCACAATGGGGAACCTCGGGGAAGCCTTCCTGAGTGAGCTGCCTGCCTGCTCCCTGTCTGACTTACAGCCCTCTGGCTCGTGCTGACGCACAGCCCAGAGTAGGCAAGTTTTCTTGGTGTGTAGGCTGGGGCTTCCATTCGGGTAAAACATGCAAACTATCTTTCAGGGAGAAGGAATGGGGTTGGGAAGAGGAAACTGCTGGCCTTAGTTTGCGTTACTGAATCGCACAGCTTGCTCTGCCTAGGCCCAGGCTTTCAGTTGTTTGGATTTCAGCTCAGCACGGCATCAAGTTTGTGTCCTAAAGCTGCCCTATGGTACTGAAGAGCAATTATTGATACACATAAAATGGCCTGGAATAAAACAGGGAAGAAAACAGCTCCCTCAGCAGGCAGGCGACGAATGTAGCTGTCACCCTGGTTTCGTTCGCTGTGGGCTGGGTGACAGCTTCAACTCCGAAGTCAGTCACATTCAAAGCCCTTCTCTGAGGGTGAAGGGACACATAATGAGATCTAATTTGTTCTTCACGGGGCATCACTTTCTGGCATTCTTTTTCTTTTTGGCAAGAAACTATGGGTAATGTATGTCAATGTCATCAAAGACACATTCATGTTTCTCTCACAACTGTGACCTTGTATCCAGCTAAGAGGTACAGCGGGTGACGGCGAGATGCTCAGCTTACGTCCACAGGGCAGATTTTCCAGGCAGCAGCTCTGTTGGCAGGGCCACCTGCCATGCTGTCTGGCCACGTCGGTGCCAAGCGATTCTGGGAAGATCTGGGCCGTGACGCCACGGAGCAGCAGCAACGGAGGTGGATTCCTGGAAGCCGCGGTGCAGGGTGCCGGGGGAGCCCCGCTGCAGGACAGCCGGGGCTGGGGAGCAGGGCTCCGACCGCTCACCCCCGCACGTTGCAGGGCCCTGTCCAGGCAGCAGGCAGCACCTTACCAAACCAGTCCCGGAAAATTGGCTGCCTTGGCCGGGAGGAAACGGCGTTAGCTGTCACAGCTTTCACTCAGAATTAGCTATGAGCTGGCCAGGCATAAATTGCTTTTGGAATTAGCCCTGCCAGCTGCATTACCAACAAAGCAAAAATTGTCTCGGGAGCGAGGCTCAGGGTTCACACACTTAAACCCTACCTGTCACAAGGTTGCTAAACTCTTCCCCAGGGCTGGTACTACAGTATTTACCGTATTGGCATGCTGTCTTTTCTGTTTGACTGCCGCATGATCGTATTATAACATGTCCTGTTGACAGGACTAAACTCAGGTCAAACTGTGTAAAGAGATAACAGCGGCCTTGATCGCTCCATGGTGAAACCAGAGTAAATTACTGGATGCCGAATGAGTTATTCCGTGTTTATTTCAGATTAAATAAGATTAGAGTCTGGCCTTCAGATCATGTTATTTCTCTAATTCAGCTGGGTCATATTTTTAAATTCACGCGGTGGTGAACATGGTCCAGCAAGTGCCAGCACACAGTCCCAGCACTTGCAAAACATCGCGTGTATATATTGGCACTTTCCGTATTTGCTGACTGCAGGACAAATAGGTTTCATATTGGGACATCAAAGTCTGTTTCAGCAACTGGATGCATGACGAAGCCATGTTATAATGTGGGTACTGATTACAGCACTGGAACATGTCGTCTCAGCACGTGGTAAATTTGGATGCGCAGATAGATAAAACTTTTTAGTGGCCTATGGCTTGATTTCAGCATGGAGAATGTTGTCAGCATATTTGTGCTAATTAAGGAAACAGCATGGGAAACTCCTTTACAGCATAGATACAGCCAGGGCTCAGGAAATACCACTGCTTTTCGATGTTTTTTTTATACAAGTTAGCTTGTCTTCAAGTAGAGCTGCAGCTTTGTGACTCAGCTGCATTTCTAAACTGCACCAAAGCTTGTTTGGGTCTTGTGTTCTCACCTGTTCCTGGGGAATGGATTGAGCAGTTCGGTCACAAGCACATTAGGAGAGCAGCTGGCATTTCCTCTGTGTTTGGGGACAGCAGAGCAGGGCTGGATTCTCTGGGTTGGTTGTGTTGACAGTTTGCAGTGTGTTGACAGTAAGTGCACACCAACAAATAAACACAGGTTTGTGCTTGTGCTCGAAATACTTTCATACTAGTGAAAATAATGCTTTTGCCCAACAGTTACCTTTATTTTCATGCTGGTATTGTGGATATGTTATACTGCTTTTGACAAATTCCCATGTTCAAGTTCCCGAGAAGGCTGAAACGCTGCCAACTGTGTTAAGTCCTTTCTGTTGCACTGAGTCAGCCGCCGTGATTTTACCTTTGCTCTTGGTCAAAGTCTTACGCTCCATTATCTTTTTGTTCTTTTTCTAAACACAAGAAATTGCAGTACAAGTGTTTGTTCCGTGTCCTAACATTTCCTTCTTCTCTGATGACAAAACCAGCACATTACTTTTATTATTAGTAAGACAGGAACACCTAGAAACCCTTGATGTTTTCCCAAGGGATTCCCAGCCGAAATATAAATGACAAACAAAAACGGGAGAAGTTAAGTGCCTTTATTTGCATTTCTGAACAGGGAAATGAGGTACCCAAAATTAAAGGGGCACTTAATACTTCCTTATTTAAAGGCCACACACAGAAGCATGGCCAAGTATAGACGTGGGATCAGTAGGTCCCTCTTCTCCAGGGGGCCCTGACCACCTTTCTGCTCACCGGCCCCAGCAGCAGCCAGGCCAGCACAGCCTCATGTCCGTGTGCCCCTGTCTGAGCTCAGGCCAGCAGCCAGCACCTTCCCTGGGTTAGCACACTTCTCCCGTTCCCCATGCAAGGTGCTCCCAGGGCTGCCGGCCTCCTGCCCCTTCCTCTTTACCCCCAGGGGAAGAGCTGCTGAGCTGACACCTGCTCGTGGTGGCTACTTGCACTGACCAGTGAAAGCCTCCAGAATGGTGGCTGCTGAGAAATGCCTGCCGTGTGTAGGAGCTCAGGGCAGAGCTTTCCCAAGTGCCCGTCCATGGGAAGAGCCTCGCAGCTCCTGCAAGTCACAGGTGGAGCCGGTTATAACCTGACTTACCTTCCTCGGCATTTTGAAGTCTGGTGAAACATGATGCATAATGACATTACTCTGCTTTTGCAAGTAGGAGACTGCCTTTATGCAGGAGTGTCTCATCTGTGAACCTCACCTCAATGCATAGTGCTTATTCAGATATAACCACGAAAATGAGGCCTGGCTAAATAATGCCTCCAACTGAAAGGATCCACTGAAGCCCATTATAATGATCTTAATGACTTCCAATTCAGCTGTGCCTGTGATACCAGAGTGCAAAGGTAATTATGGAAGTGCTAAACACTATTATTACTTGATATTAGCAACAGGGCGGGGGTGAGACCTGGCGAACCCTTCCCCCACCTGGCCCAGACACGAGCGAGGGCTGCCCCTTGCCTCCTGAGGGCTGGGCAGGCGAGGTGGGGCGTTTGCTCGGCCTGGCTGGGGCAGGCTGCAAGCTCGCTGCCCGCCCGCGCCAGGAGAAACCTGTGCGGCGCTGATTCACCCTCAAGTGATTGCTTGACCCAGAGGAGGGCCTGATGATACACGGCGGCCGGGACGCACCAGCCGTGATTACAAGGTGATTCACTGCCATTCAAAACATCCTCCGCGCTGCGCAGGCTGCAATAAGGAAGTGATATTTGCACCTTCAGCTGCCACGGTCCCACCAAGCCTTTCGGCCGCTGCCTGCAGCCTGGCGCTTTCATCCCTCGGGCTGTGTTGACACCACGGAGGTTTGCTGGCAGGGGCGGCTCCCTGAAGCTGCCACGTGGCTGCAGCCCCGTGCCTCTTGCTGGTACTGTCCGTCCTCGCCCCAAGGTTTGGCCAGAAGTGGCCAAACACTTTCCATCGTCCTGTTCCTCCCACGCCTTTGCCCTTCACTCTGCCTCTGCTCCAGATATGCTCCTGCCTCTCTCGTTTGGTTTCACCAGAGCGGTCCGAGTGCACTGACTGCATTCATTTCATCCTGCAAAGTGCTTCCCATGCGGCACACAGGGAGCAGGGAAGCCCTGGGTGCCTGGCAGGTGCCATGCCTCCTGCCCCAGGAACTGGTACTGCTCGTGGCAGCGTGCTGCAGGCACTGCTAGCATCTGGGATGTGCAAAGCTTGCTCACGTTGGCTGGGGCTTGTAAACGTGTCAGGGCCAATAGCGAACAGTTTGTATTGCGTTTCCCCTCAAGCTAAGCTGAGCAACGTTAGGTAGCGAGTTGGGCATTATTCAGAGCTCCTAAACCTCGGGGTTTGCCAGTGACAGAGTTGCACACTTCCAGCAGGACGCTCCCGACATTTTCTGTGCAGCATCATGGCCAGGCTGCAGCACAGGGGAGTTGTGCTCCATCACGTTTCATTGCTCAGCTGCCGTGCTCTGTTGCCAGCTCTGCTGTGTGGATAACTAGGTGAGCTATCTCTGGAAAACAATCTATTCAGTGAATTCAGCCCTCGTTTCCTGCGGGGAACTGCCTTCAAACTGCCTCTCAGATGTATTTTACGTGCAGTGTTATTATTTGTGCTTTGTCTAAACATGTGCTAGCTGTGGATTCTCTGTGTGCTCTTGGATGGAGCTGCGGTTTTAAATACCCACCGCTGGTTATTCATAGTGCACATTTAGTCATTTAACAAACATGGTATTAGTTCTGCTCTCTAAGCTGATGACTAATACTCTTATAAATAGGAGGAATGTGATCTGAAAGGTCACGTGAACGTTCCCAGCGTGAACATATCCCTAAACTATGAGGCTTCCCATTCCAGGAGCGTGCTTGTAAAAAAAAGAAAAAGCTCATTATTAGGAAGGAGAAAAAGGGTTAAAAACCCACTCAAGCAATTTCTGTGCTTTACCTCAAACATATTTTTGCAATGTTTGCTTTTGCCTGCAATCTCTGCTGATGTGCTTGGGAGGACGGGAATTGCCCCAGTGGAACAGGCCTGAGCTCTCTCCCATGCCAGCGCCCTCCCCTGGAGCATAACAGGACCTCGGTATTTTATGAGTAAGAAACATCCTCTGAATTTCCTGATGGAAAGCAGGACAACTCCTAACACTGGATCCCAAAGCAAATGGGAAGAGTGCATGATGCAGGTTTCTGCACGGCTTTCCTCAGCTCGGTACCGTGGAGCGAAGCCACGCTGCCTGGACTGCTGCATGAAAGCAAACTAAGCGAACGCTGCTGCTCTCCTGCCATTGAGAGGTGTGCTTTGTGTTCACAGAAGAGAGGAAGGGTGGCCCTGTGAGCAGCCTGAAGGGCTGGCCAGGCCGTCAGGAAGCACAGCACCGCCTGCCCTCTGTCTACATCTCAGGTATGCCCAGGAGCCACCGAGGACAAAGCTCAGCTGGTGGGCTCTGTGCTGGTGGGGCAAAGCAGGGGCAGGCTCAGCGCCCAGCCGGGAGGTGGCACTGACTCTGCCAGCACTTCTCCACTCCCCTTCTACAGCGTCAAGCGTGCCGGTCTGAGCCACCTGTAGCTGAAGTCGGCTCGTTGGACTTTGCACTGGAGCAAAGTGGAGGAGAGGGTTTGTGCAGCTGGCTCGGGGATGGGTCCCAGTTTCATCACAACAGAGGCAGGTCAGCTGGCCGCTGGCTGGAGCCCGAGGCACAAGCCCAGGTGGCACGAGGGTGGGCAGGGGCAGGAGCTGCGCTCTGGCTGAGGGACACCGTCCGTGGGGGTACAGATCTTGCCCTCCTAAATCACACGGCCATGTACAAACTACCTACTGGGGGCAGTCCCTGACCCACGCTAACTCCTGAGCTGTGCTTGGGAACGCTGTGGGGAGCATTTGGTGGCCTGGGCAAAAAGTGTCCGGAGCTGTGCTGAGGGCTGGAGGTAGGGACAGCCGAGTTCCTCTGCCTGTGCCCTGGTTCAGGCTTTGATTTTCTGCTCTAGATGCTGCCAGTCCGTCTGTTACAAGTTACCTTCTGTGGGACATGGGAAAGAGAGGACTCTTCCAGCTTCGTTTCCAGCTGTTGTCCCTGTGCCCTCTCTAACAAGAGTGCTTCCTTACGCACAGAGGAGTGAGAGGCTGCCAGCAGAGGACACGCTGGGAAAGGGGAGTGTGGCAAAAGTCATTGCAGTGATCTGTAGAAGTTTGACTCGGTGAAGTATCAGGCCAATGGCACACACATGCCATAAAGACAGTATTCCCAGTCTCACAGAGCTATCATAATTTTGTCTGTGCTTATTATAGTTACAGGAATGCATTAACATTAAAATATGTGGGCTAAAAGCTTGTGTCCTATATTTTCCTCCTGCCAACCTTGGTCTTGACTTTAGGTGGCGGATTAGAAAGGACAGCTGAGGCTCCGGGTCCCCCAGGCAGTCTATTTGCAGTCGAGAAGTCCCCGAGATTTGCTAGACTATCCGTGATGTTTCTCTCTGAGCACACACCGTGTTTCCTAACTTCAGCCATCTCAGAGGTTTGATTTCAGTGGAAGATGGTATATATAAGTGATACTTGATTGAGAAGTGCATATGCAGAGCTTACGAAATAGCGTGTCTGCCTACATGTGCATGCGTTAAAATAACAGGGCAAAGGCCACTGCAATGTATTATTTACCTACTGGTTCAGATTTATCTGCCTGCCGTAGGGACTGCTGCCGTCTCTGGTCTGTCTCTGTCAAATTTTGTTCCTAGAGAAAATAGCAGTGTGAAGAATCGTGTTTGAGGGTGGCTCTCTTATGGCTGACATCAGGGGACTGAGCGGTACATTCAAGCTGAAATCTGAGGTGTCACCCAGGTTACTTTGGGTGCACTGACTTGTATTTGTTTGTGGGTACACCTGGATTTCTCCTCTCCCTTGGTCAGCAGCAGAAGCATTTTTCTTGCCTAATGGCAAGTAGGTGGTAGGGGTGGGGTCAGGTCGTGCTTGTGGCTGCTGGCCTGCTGACAGTGGACAGAGATATAAATGCAGAAGAAGATGGGAAGAAAGGAACAGACGATGTAATTACACCTGGTCAGGGTCAGCATGACACCACACGCACTATATCCATATGTATTGGAAACCTACACACACATAAAAGAAAACATTCAAGACATGCAATCAGGTTCTTCCACAGGGCAGCCACAATTACATAAAGAAATGAATAAGGGTTTTTTTTTTACACTGTGATGCTAGCAGTCACAGCCTCCTCTCTGACTGCACCGGGGAGAAGAGCGTGTTACGTGTGAGCAGAATAAATGATCTGTGGCTGGTAAGCAGCATGGTGCAGCACCTCGCTGCAGCACCTTCCTGTGCCAGCCAGGTGTCAGGGCCAGGCATCACGACCAGCCAAAGCAAACCTAGGTGCAGATCTCGAGCAACGTCCTCGGAGCTGGCAGTTGGAAAATGGGTGCAAATGTTCCAGGCAGATGCTTTGCCAGTGCCGTCTGAGTCTTGCTCCCTACACGTGGACAAGCACAGATCAGGTTATACATGTTGCAGGACAGTTGTGTTTGTAAACAGCAGGAATATTTTGCAAACAGGGGAGAGCAGCACCCACCCTGCTTCCTGGCTGCCATCTCTCCTGGGGTTTGAGAAAAACCGAAAGCAAGCCCCAGAAGCTTTCTCCCTTTCCATGGTGACACAACAGAGCAAAACAGGATTTCCTTCACAGCAGCAATAGGACAGGCTTTGCCGCATTCTTGCACGGGTGAGTTTGGATGCCAGAGAGTGGAATTTCCAAGTGCATTTCCCTTCCTACACCTTTCTCTTTCATCTTCATAAATCTGTGCCAATTTTTAAAGAACCTATTTTGGGGGGAGGGAATGGGGACAGAAGTGATGAGCTATTCAGAGCTGAAAGCAGATATTCATGCTGCCAGAGGTAAGACGGTAGAAAAAAATGTGTCAGTGTAGCAGATGATAGCTCTCCTCTCTTAATGCCTCTCGTGAAGCATCAAGGTGTACGTGTTTCTCAGAGGGGCTGTACATCTCAGAGGCAGTCTGTGAACTGCGTGTTGAAATGGTTGCCATGGCAGTGACTGAGTCTAAGTTAGAAAGCACGATTAGCCAGAGCTGGCCTAAATAGCTGCAGGGAAAAGAAAAAAAAAAAAAAGGCCAAGGACTTTCTGTTATTTCTATTGCAGACTCATCAGCACTAGGCTGTGCCTAAAAAGGGAACAGTGTGGAAGGAGAGGAGCTGGCAGGAGTGCCCTGCACCCCAGACCCTGCTGGGATGCATGGAGTCGTGAGCAGCGGCACACACTGCATGGGGATCTTGGGGTTTTTCCCTTCGCTCCCTTTAGGTTGTACCAGCGTGGTGGCCGTGCACCAGCAAGGGGCTGCTGGTACAACCTGTCCCTTTGGTGTTGGCTTGGTGACACTACTTCTCCAGAGTGGGAGGCATGGCTCCAGTGACCCAGGGCAAGCTTTCAGAGGGTTCTCCTGGCTGGCAAGTGGTGTAGACATGTTAGAAAGTGTGAAAATGGTTCATGGAGGGGTTTAAAGACTTGCCCAGAGTGATGCAGGGGCTTTCCAGCCTGGGTAGAGTGCTAATGCATGATCTCCCTGTCCCTAGAGACATTCAGTGTGTGTCTGAAAGGCATTTGAAGCCTGAGAACTGGAGAAGGCAGCCCTTTTTGATAATTCATTGCTGCGGTTAATCACACTCACTTGTTAAAAAAAAAAAAGGCACCTTATATCTAATTCAAATGTGTATGGTGTGTATTAGCTTTCAGCCTCTCGTGCATGCTGTGTTCTCTGCTATATTTAAAAAAAAAATCCCTTCTTGAGATCCTGTGGGTTTTTGCTCTGAAGGTTTCTTCTGCAGTCACTTCTGAGCTCGTTTTTGAAGAACTGAAGAAGCAGAAATCTTTCTCTCTAAGGGTTTTCTTTGAGCTTTTGTCAGTGAAAAAATGGAAGACTGGCAGACTAAGGTGAAGATTTCTCAGTACCGGCACTGTATGGAAAAACATCCTCCCTGAGAGCTGTGGAGTGCCACATCAGGGAGCCAGATGCCCAGTGTGAAATCAACAGAAGAGATTTATGCAAGCTGAGAGCATGCAGGTAGCATTTGCAGGAGCAGAGCCTGATAGCCTTATTGTCTTCTCTCATAGCTTTATAAAATAGAGAAGTTTAATTTACGTTAGTCTGGAGTTGATTCTGCTTTATAGTACGTTAAGTGAGATTAGATATGAGCCTGCTCAGGCCAATCCATTACATATGATCACTTACAAAGGATATGTCTCTCCCCTTCTGTCCTAAGGGATCAGGAGATTCCTCCTTTAAAAGGAGTGCAGAGCAGCAGTACTTACTGTGGTGGTTAATGGGTGCCTGTTTTGGCTGGTTGAGTTGGGGTGAAAGAGATCGTACAGCCTGCACTTTAGGAGGAAGAAAAGAAAAACCCATAAGACACCTATTTGCCCTACATATCACGCCTGTTGGCGTTTGCTGTTATTTGCAGGAGTCTCTTCCACTTCTTGCACCTCCTAAATCCTTGTCATCCAGGTTTGAGAGCTGGAACTATCTTCCCTGGCACAAAGTCAACAACACGTTTTTTAGCACTAGCAGCCATTCATATTTTACATTAGTGTTCCTCTCTGTTCCTTTCAAGCAATAATCGTAAATATCAGCTTTCATTCCTAGAGCACCTTTCATCCCAGGGGCTCCTAAAGCACTTTCCAAGCTTAACAAGCTTACTGTGTAGACTGCTGCTTTAGAAAGGGTAAAAGTTGCTTCCCATTAAAGCCTGATTTGGGGAAGAAAACCCCCGAATTATAATGACTTCAATACCCCAGGGAGCCTTTGCAGCTGTTATTTGTTGTATATGTTCCCTTAACAAAAACAGATCACCTCTTACTGCTCCATCCCCCTTTCTTCCCCAGCTGAACCCAGCAGCTCTCAGTTACCTGGGGGCGGAGGAGGGTGAGGAATGAAAAATAATCATCCTCTTTGATCCGAGGAAGGTCTTTTTTTGCTGGAATCCTGTTGATGCCCTCAACAGCTTCTTCTGGCAACTCCATTTCCATCTATTTTCTCTTCATGGGGGCAAATACCCAAGGGCAGGGTTGAATCTCCTCCAATGGTTTTAGCCAGAGAAGTCACCATCCGTGGTTGGGCTATGCTAAGGAACATGTGAGAAACTGTAATCCTCTTCAGCACAGTCAGCCGGCCTAATTTAAGTCACATTCCTCTGCAGTCAAAGCAAAGCCAGTTGCTTTACATTAAAACGAGCGATGACCTTTTCAAATGGTCTTTTATTTGGCTCTTCTGTGGGAGCAGTAGGCCCAGAAGAGACAACTGTTGCTGGTAACTTTTAAACTGAAGAATTTGTTTCCTAGTGAATCATATGATTAATTTTAGGGCGGCTAGCATCTGAGTAGTGTCAATTTGTTTTCATTGGTTTCAGGAGGACTGTGTGTTGCAGGAGCTGTCCATCTCACGGTGCATGGAGCTTCCTTCCAGCTGGCCATGCAGGGCAGTGGTTTCTCCACAGCTTGGCTGACAGGGGCCCAGGTGGATTACAGAACATCCTGAGCTGAAAGGAACCTGCAAAGATCAAGTCCAGTTCCTTGGTCCCGCAGGGACCATCTAAAATGAAACCATCTGTCTGAGAGAGCTTAAATGCTTCTTGAACTCTGAGAGGCTCGGTGCTGTGACTACTGCCCTGGGCAACCTGCTCCTGTGCCATATCCCCCTCTGGGTGCAGCACCTTTCCCTAACCCCCAGCCTGACCCTCCCCTGTCCCAGCTCCATGCCGTTCCCTCGGGTCCTGTCGCTGTCCCCAGAGAGCAGAGCTCAGCGCCTGCCCCTCCGCTCCCCTTGTGAGGGAGCTGCAGGCCGCCATGAGGCCTCCCCTCAGCCTGCTCTGCTCGGGGCTGAGCAAACCAAGGGACCTCAGCTGCTCCTCGTATGTCTTGCCCTCTGTAGCCCTCCTTTGGAGGCTCTCTAACAGCTTTATGTCCTTCTTATACTGTGGCACCCAAAACTGCACACGGTGCTCTAGGTAAGGCCACACCAGTGCAGAGCAGAGTGGGACAGTCCCTCCCCTCAATGACTGGCAGTGCTGGGCCTGATGCACCCCAGGGTACTGATGGCCCTTTGGGCTGCCAGGACACACCACTGCCTCGTGTTCAACTTGCTGTCCACCAGAAACCCCAGATCCCTTTCCACAGGGCTGCTCCCCAGCCTCTCGTCCCCCAGTCTGTACATATACCCAGGGTTGCCCTGTCCCAGGTGCAGAATCCAGCACTTGCCCTTGTTAAACTTCTTGTGGTTGGTGATTTCCTGACCATCTAATTTGTTACGATCTCTCTGCAGGGCCTCTCTTCCTGCAAGGGAGTCAGCAGCTCTTCCTAATTTACTATCATCTGCAAACTTACAGAGTATGTATTCAAGTAGATCTTTATAAAAACATTAAAGAGGTATAAAAACATTAAGGCATTCCAAAATGGAGCCCCGGGGAACCCCACTAGTTACTGGCTGCCAGCCTGATGTAACCCCATTTACTGTAACCCTTTGAACCCAGCCCATCGGACAATTGTTCACCTGTCATATTTTGTATTTGTCTAGCTGTATGCTGGACAATTTGTCCAGAAGGATGCTACGAGAACCAATATTGAAAGCTTTGCTGAAATCCAAAAAGATCACATCTACTGGCTTCCCTTGGTCAACTAGATGGGAACCTTGTCATAAAAGGAAAATAAGTTTGTTAAACAGCACTGTCCCCTTGTGAACCTGTGTTGGCTATGACCAATGACTGTTGTCTTTCAAGTGTTTTTCAGTAACTCCCAGAATAATCTTCTCTGTAATTTCACCAGGCACTGAAGTGAGACTGACAGGCCTGTAATTACCAGGGTCTTCTTTCTTACCCTTCTTGAAAACTGGGACAACATTTGCCAGCTTCCAGTTTACTGCAACTCATAAGGCACACAAATCCCGATTGCCTCTCCAAGGACGCACCAAGAGCCTATGGTAGAAGGCAGAACATAAGCCCTCTCTGTTTCAGTGCTTCAGTTGCACAAATGCAATTTATCAAGATGGTATTTAGATAGCCCTAGATAAAAGATACATCAAAGCATATTTTTGGCTGCTGCTTTCAGAAGTAGTAGTAAATCTCCTGGGGGAATGCAAGCAGTCAGATATGATCCAAGTTATCAAAATGCTCCATCTCCTTACTGCCCCTCCTCCTCTCACCCTGGTCGGGTTCACAGGGAAGCCCTCTCTTGGGGCTGGTGCGTCATCTATTCCCATCAGTAGAGTTTAGTTCAGAAATGCATTTTCATTTTTTTCCAACAAAACAGTGCCTTTTTCAACACTAATTCTGAAGAACTGCAAATTGGCAAAGGATCCAAAAAGAATAATGAACCAACCGTTTGCTGTTTACTTTGGCCACGCTGTGTAAGTGCTGATATTAGCATTTCTGAAAGGATTCATTCATCACTGAATAAAGATTTGTACCTGTGAATAAAATCTTGCTTAGGAGGTCCTGTGTGCCTCCTTTCCTCTATCAACAAAGCTTACAAATGTCAAGAGGTGGTTTTGCATCAGAAGGTAGTGCATATCTATTATTTCCAGATAAGAAAAAGCTACTGAAAATATTCCATGCCTGCGGTATAATGAAAGCAGCAGCAGCAGCAGTAAATTTAAAGAAAAAAACACCTTGCTTATTTTCATGTGCCTTATTGGTTTGTTTATTTAATTTGATACCTGA